TATGTTGCCCAGACTGATCTTGAACTCCTGGGCTCAAGCAATCCTCCTGCCTCAACCTCCCAAAGTGATAGGATTACAGATGTGAGCCACCACACTGGGCTCTGGTACCTTCTTAAAGAAAATTTTGCCAAAGAGAAGAGTGTGTTAAGGGGAAAGTACTCCAGGCAGAAGAAAAGAGTTATATGCAAAGACCTTGTCACATGAAAGAAATACCATGTCCAGGAAACAAAGAGTTCTATGACGCTGAAGTGTCAGGTAAAGGGAGAGAACAGAAGCAGGTAGCACCGCAGTAAAAGAGGCCGGGCTGGATTTATCCCGCACAGGAGTCTGGGTTTATCCTGCACTCAGGAGGAACACAGGGAGGGATTTTACTTGGGGCCTGAGGGCCATCCTTTGGAAGACCAGGCTGTATGTTTTCAAGAGGGGTCAAAAACACGCAGGAAACAGAGAAGACTTTTTATATAACATTGGTGGAGGCAAAACCTGAGAAGAATTTCCAACAAAGAGAAAAAAATCTAACATATTTAATTTTTTTTAACTTGGGAGTACCCCTGCACTTTCCACACATCACAAATTGACAGCACTTGAGCTGCAATACTGAATACTGCTTGAGGGAAGCTGACATTCAAAAATCTTGTTAACCTATTTGCTAAGAGTATGATAATTCTTCTTCAGTTTGTTTAGACATACATCCACCTCACCTCTCTTTCTAAATAAGTTATTCGGCAATCTGGGGGAAAGGAAATCTTGTATCTTGGGGGAAAAAAACACTATGCAGTCAACTGAATTTCCATGAGGTTTTGGCAAACCATATGCCAGAATGTTACTTAATTCTAAACTCAAATCCTCAAATCATACCTCCCATAACTCATTTCTCTTAAGATTCTGTCCCAATTTTTTTTTTTTTTTTTTGAGGCAGGGTCTTACTCTGTCACCCAGGCTGGAGTACAGTGGCACGATCATGGCTCACTGCAGCCTTGACCTCCTGGGCTCAAGTGATCCTCCTGCCTCAGCCTCCCAGGTAGCTGGGACCACAGACAGGCTCCATCTGGCCCAGCTACTTTGTGTGTGTGTGTGTGTGTGTGTGTATGTATGTGTGTGTGTGTGTGTGTATATATATATATATATATACATACACTTTTTTTTTTTTTTTGGTAGAGAAAAAAAATGTTGCCCAGGCTGATCTTGAACTCCTGGATTCTACTGATCCACCCACCTCGATCTCCCAAAGTGCTGGGATTACAGGCATTGGGCCACCATACCTGGCCTCCAATTCTATTTTTAATACTGCATTTCAAAATTTACTATTTCAAAATTTTTGGCACTCTGTGGGAACGCAACAAATACACGCAGAATATAATAAGTGATTTAGTTTATCGTTCCTCTGGAAAAAACTGGCTTGCAGTAAATGACATTATTTTTCCCATACTGTTAAGATGATGCTCACTGCAGAACTCTCTATAAACAGATCTGCAGACTCTTTGGCCTGTTTCTAAAACTACTGGTGTTTCCCAGAGTAGGATGCTGCCCCAGTGTGGATTTCGACTGCTGTTTTTTTCAGGCCCCAACACCACCTTCCTCAACCCCACACCCTAGTGAGTAAATGTCAGTGGCCGATGGAGAAAGCACTCACACGTGTGCCACTCTGACAAATACTTTATTCCAACTAAATGTATAGACTTTCACTGTGACATAAAAAGGGAAGAGGAAACAGAAAACTCAAGTGAGCAAAAGATGTATGAATACAGAGTGAGATCAACTGCTACATGACACAGGGAGGGAGGTTAGCAGCATCTCCACTGAAAAACAAATTCACAGACATCCTGTTTATTTCCGAAAGAGAAACACCATAGAGCTATTCTTGGGATGTTCAGGAAAAGATTAAAATAAACACCTATTATGTATTGTATTTCAAGATAAACTTTATAGATTTAGAGCAGGACACGCATTTCTGGACTTGAGAATGCCATATCTGCTTGGAATAAAAGCCCACATTTCATCTAGAGGTAGAATGTATGTCATTCTAATCTCCCTCAATCCTTTCTTCTCCAATTTCTTTATTGCCCCATTTACAAGAGAGGGCACTATTATTCCAAAGCCGAAACCTTCCAAATTCCTTTACAGTAGAGGTCTTGGCTATCATAACCATGATGGAACAAAATGACTGTCCTACAGCTGGCTGCAAAATATAAGACTGCTATAAATAAATCCCTGATGCCTGAAAAGTAATTCATTCGACAAAGGAAGATAGGTATGACTTTGGCCTACTCTTCATTAGAATGCTTATTTTTATTTATTTATTTATAAAGAGTGCAAAGCAGACTTCATTTGAGGGGTACCACAGCAACAGGTATAGAAACAACTGCAACAGGGTCTTGTAGTCAGGGAGAGAGATCAGACTCAACTCCCTAAAATGTTAATTTTAACAATGGGACACTTTAACTGAACTGTTGTTCTTAATGGTTCAGATGAAGATGACACAACCCACTACTGTCTTAAATTTCTCCCAACTCTGGCTACAGAATCCAGGTAAAGATTTCTGCCTCCTCAGAGTAATAGGCATGTCCAAAATCACCTGGATTAGGGCACTTAATACACAGGGAATGGACAATAACAACTAAAGATGACCACTATCCATGCCTCATCTAAAAGTTTTTTCATGTATTTTTCCATATCACCAAAACAAATACTAACTTGGATCAACTAATTTACATAATGGAATCTCGTGTGAGAGTACAAAATTCCATACTGATTATTTGGTTTAAGCTTGCATTATCATAAAAGCTTTACAGTCTTTAAACTGAAGTTAAGCTCACATTAAGCAATGCTAGTCTTAAAACAATGGAGGGTTGGGGACGTTTTCTGTGGAGGGAGGGAGACAGACATCCCCCTACACCCACCCACAACTCCTGACATTGACATTGGAAATTAACTTAAAAATTTATGCCTGTAGTCCCAGCTACTCAGGAGGCTGAGGTAGGAGGATCACTTAAGTCCAGGAGTTGGGAGGTGACAGTGAGCTTTGACTGTGACACTGCACTCCAACCCGGGTGACAGAGCAAGATCCCATCTCTCAAAAAAAAAAAAAATGCTTTAACTCCATGTCTGTACCAGAAGACCACAGCAGGAGACCACAGAGACTCTTCAGTCTGGGTAAGAGTCCTATTAAACACAAAATAAAACAAAGTAGCCTCTGTTTTTGGAGGTCTTAACTAGTAGTTTCTACAAAACAGTATCCAAATTAGCAAAAATTCTGTTAACTACCTGGAACATAAAGCAGGTTATAAAGACTTAAGAATGTTTCACTCCTATAATGGAAAAAAAACAGTCTAGTGAGTAAACCAATCTGATCATAAACGCTACAAAAGAGGGATAAGCATTAAGAACTTTGCCAACAATACTCTGATATGATTAAAAAACAAAACAGTAACAAAAACAAAAAACCTCATTTTTAAATTTGTCCCATTCATCCAGAGAAGCAAAATTAAGGAAACTAGAGGCGGTAAAGTCTTGCAACAGACACACAGCTGCACTGCCAACAGGTCACAAGACCCATGTTGCCTAGGGCATTGACTATTATGCCACGAGGACAGACATCACACAAACACCAGTAATGAAAGGGTTACGGTGCCAAAGGGTTCAGAGCTCCATCCACTTCCATTCAGTATCAGAACATGAGAAAAAGGGAAAAAACAGAAAATGAGCCCAAATAAAATATAAAATAAAATATGAATACCAGCAGCTTTCTCAAAATACATGGGTTGAATAACGTGTTTGGCTCTGTTATGGGTACCATCCATCAGAGGACTGGAAATGGGGAAAGTCACCTTAGTCTTCCTCAAGGAAAAAAGATTATTTAACTTGGTTCACGGTGTACATTCATAATTTTAACTGTCATGTATTTATTGAATGAAAAACATTTGAGAACATAATGTGCAACAAAAACATGAGTTCACAGAAATGGTCCAAACTAAAAGAGTATAAAAATAGAATCGCTTTGTATACAATAATTTACTCATTATTGAGATAGGGTCTCCATCTGTCACCCAGGCTGGAGTGCAATGGCGCAATCATAGAGTAGCCTCCAAGTCCTGGGTTCAAGCGATCCTCCCGCCTCAGCCTCCAGAGTCGTTGGGATCACAGGCTCGAGCCTCCACATCCGGCGTTAAAAAAAAACTTTTTGTAGAGATGAGGCCTCGCTATGTTTCCCAGCCTGACCTCGAAATCCTGGCCTCAATCGATCCTCCAACCACGGCCTCCCAAAGCGCTGGGATTACAGGCGGGAGCCATAGCGCCAGGTCGCTTTTACACAACTAATCAACATTAAATTTACACAACTAATCAACATTAAAATAGGTGGCAGAAGACAGACAGAAAGTCTATTTGTGGTTGCCAGGCTTCGTGAATACTGGGGAATGGGGAGTGCCTGCTAATGGGTAAGGGTTTCATTTCGGAATCAGACAGCGGCGATGGCTGCACAACTTTGTGAATGTGCTAAGAATCACTGAACTGTGCACCTTAAAGGGAGAATTGTATGGTAATTAAATCGGCGGTACGCGGACAGCGCGTCAATCAAGCCGGCGACAGTGAATGAAGTTCGGGAGAGCTGATTTCCCTCGGGGAGGCGGCTCCGGGAGTCTGCGAACGTGGCGGACGCCTGGGACGGGGTGGGCCTGCCAGCGCTCGGGGAGTCCCGGTCCTCTCCAGACGGAAGAAAGCCGGGGCGCGGAGCTCCCGCCCGCTCTTCTGCCTGGGGACGCTACTCTGCCGCCAGACTCCCTCGGGTCAGCTCGGCACCCGCCCGAGCCCCCCCGTTCCAGGCCCTCTCCCCATCAGACGTGCCTCGGGCCCTCCGCCTCTTCCTCTCTCGCCGCCCGGAACCCCGCCGCAGCCCCGGGTCGCCAGCCCGCGCCCCTCCGGCACCGCCTCCGCCAGCAGCTGCCACTGCCCCCTGGGCCGCCCTCGCAGGCCGCTCCCGGCGCCCTGGTCGGCTTCCGTACCTGCCTTCTCCGTGCCGCCGTCCCAGTGGCTGGAGTTGGGGCCGTCGCCCTGCGCACTCCGGAGGGCCATGCCCCGGGGGCCCGGGCCCCCACCCGAGCCCCGGCTGTTGGCGGAGCCGGGAGAAAACGCGGCTCCGACCGCGGGACGTAGCGCCCGCTCGGCATCGGCAGGCTCCGCTCGGTCGGCCAACGGCGCGCAGGCGCGAAGGCGCCCCGCTGGCCCCGCCCCGCGCCGGCACGTGACCTTGCGCTACGCCTGGACGCGAGAGGGCGGTGAGCGCTCTGAGCAGTTAGTTTCCTCTGCGCTGTAGACTCTACGGTGTAGAGTGTGGCGCTCTTGAACGAGTATGCTCAAGACCAGCTGGCATTTCCTTTGCTTGTTTCATCTGTTAAATAGTATAGATGATAATAAAAATATTGAACTCACAGGGTTATTGAGAGTGTTTAGAACATTACCAAGCATATAGTAAATACTCCACAATTATGACAAATCTTTGCTTACCAAGGATTTTTTTTTTTTTTTTTACCTCCTGTCTCATCTCCCCACACGAACTCCTGTCATCAGTTCTTGGGTACTTTGGGATCTAGCAGGTTCATCTCATACGGGTCCGCAGGTTATGCACTGCACAAGGCCTGGGAGCGCCATTCACGTAGACGTGCATGTGAGCAGTGCCCCGCTTACATTGTGCAAAATAGTGGCCACTCATCTAAAGTAGCACTCTGGCTTATCAGGTCTGATTTCCTTCTCGTCTCCAGTGACGTTCCTTTCTTTCCAGTTGGACATCCATTCCCTTACTTACGTCCCTGATACTGTGATTGTGGCCTCCCGAATTTCTAGTACTAGCTCTTTATGCTGAGGTTCTCATAATTCCAGTTGCTTGATGACTCTCTTCCACCCCCAACTACAACAGTTCTTTATTATCCTGAGACCTCCAACCCATGAAACTCCTGACCTCGTGATCCACCCGCCTCAGCCTTCCCAAGTGCTGGGTTACAGGCAGCCACCGCGCACAGCCAAATTTTACAGTTTTATTCATAAATCTAGTAAATTATATCACTTATTTGGTCCCATTAATAAACTTAGCTAATTAAAATTCTTTGAACATTTGAAACTGCATTTATAAATTTAATTCATTTTTCTAAGTATCACAGTTTTCTGTCTAGCAAAGCCTTTCAAGTCCTTGTGTAATTCTTGTAAATATAATAAATTTATAAGAATACTGAGTCATGAGTACTTTTAAATGTGTCAATACAAATGAGATTTCATCTTAAAATCAACAGTCAATCTATTATTCAAATACATATTTGTAATTAGTACAAGAATAATCTATTAGAATTCTCAAAATTCTTTCTTTTTTTTTTTTTGAGACAGAGTCTCACTCTGTCACCCAGGCTGGAGTGCAATAGTGATCATAGCTCACTGCAGCCTCAAGCTCCTGGGCTCAAGCTATCCTCCTGTTGCAGCCTCCTGAGTAGCTAAGACTACCATGCCTGGCTAATTTTTTTAGTTTTTATAGAGGGGGTGGGGAATCTCGCTATGTTGCCCAGGCTGGTCTCAAACTCCTGGCCTCAAGGGATCCTCCTGCCTTGGCCTCCCAAAGCTCTGGGATTACAGGCATGAGTCACAGTGCCAAGCTCTTGAAATTATCTTAAACATTATAAGAACTTAAAGTATCACGTTTACACATTAATGCAAAATTAACACTAGAAGTTTGAAAACATTTCTAGTCTTTGTTCTAAGTCATCTTTGAGACCTGGCACAATGGCTCATGCCTGTAATCCCAGCACTTTGGGAGGCCAAGGCCCACAGATCACTTGAGGTCTGGAGTTCAAGACCAGCCTCGCCAACGTGGTGAAACTCCGTCTCTACTAAAAATACAAAAATTAGCTGGGCATGGTGGCGCTTGCCTATAATCCCAGCTACTTGGGAGGCTGAGGCAGGAGAATCGCTTGAACCTGGGAGGCAGAGGTTTCAGTGAGCCAAGATTGTGCCACTGCACTCCAGCCTAAGAGACAGAGTGAGACTCCATCTCAAAAAAAAAAAAAAAAAAATGAAATGAAATGAAATAAATCATCATTGAGGTTAAAAGACGCTTAGTGCCCATTGAAGGAATAATTAAGTGATCGCAATTTAAGAGTAACCTGTTCAAACAATTTGAGGTATTTATTCCCTTCTCAGTTTACTGCGCTGGCCATCCAGTCAGTTGGATTCTTGTTTTTGGTAGTGACTGAACAGTGACCCCCACCCCATTCCCACCACCACAACTCTAGGACTAAACAGTTGTGTGGTCATTGCGAAGCTTGGGCCCCCCTCACCCTCTGTTAAAAAAAAAAAGGAAGTGGCTGGTTCTCAGGGAAAAGGGAGAGATGCTCAAGCTAATGTCAAGTGCTCAGCAGGGTGAAGGAAGAGGTGTGCCTCTTGAGATACTCAGCTCCTGTTCTGGACTGGTACTCCACCTTCCGGGCAGCACATTGCCTAACTACACTCCATCAGCATGGAGCTCTAAATGACAGTCATTTTCTTCGTAATCTCCCATGCCTACTCTTTTTGAAAGGAGTTCCATGTGTTGGGCAATAATTTTTCAAAAATTTTCCTGGACTAATAGAAAACAGGCTGTCAGGCCATGATCTGAGCATTGTGACGGTGCCCTGTGGCCTGGGCTTGGAGACCACAGGGCAGCCAGAGCCTGCCAGGCTGGCCTGCCACGGGGGCCCAGGACACCTGAAAGCACAGACATCTTGGAAGACTCAGAATCACAAACATGGAGAATACTGAACTCGTTTGTTTGGTCAACAAATTGTCTTAACTCTAGATCAGACCTTTCCTGGGACCGAATACAGTTTCATTCTCTACTCTCCAGGACAGCTCAGGCTGGCAGAGGAGAGGGACTCTTAACATAGAAGGCATGACAAGTTCTAGGAAAGGAGAAGGAAGCTTAGAGGGTTGTGGAAGCCCATACAGGGGCACGAACCACACAATGGGGCAGGAGAGGGTGATGAGGAAGTTTCCTGGGTAGGTAACCTCCAAGCTGTTTATCAAGGGATGGGTACGAGTCAGTCAGTCAATGATGTAAGGAAGAGCATCCTAGGTCAAGAAAACAGCACAGGCACTGGAATGGAGCTAAGAGAAAGCAAATCATACATTAGAAACAGGAAGTGATTTAATGGTCTTACAGTATGGTATGAGAGAGAAAGTGAGGTGAGGGCACAGAAGTGTACAAGGGCAGGTCAGGCAGGGCCTCTTGAGTCATATTTGAATTTGGACTGGATGGAGCCAGTAGGGTAGAACTACAGTATTTTAGCATTTTTATCTTCACTTACAATGTGAGAATCACACCTACTTATCCATTAACAAATGTTTATGGAGCACCAAAGCCATGTCAGGCTGTGAGCTAGGACATAGAGTGACAGGGGAATTGCTCAGCTTTCAACTAGGAAGAGAGACAAGTAAAGCCAGGTGAAAATATATCAGACAGGCTATAGCCTAGAAGTCTGGGAGAACACGGAAAATTCCAGAAACAAAAAGAGAACAGCAGAATTCTAAGATGGTCCCCAAGATTCCCACCAATGGTGTGCATGGTACGCATGTGTGGACAGAAATTCCCCTCGAGCGTGTGCAATACTTGTGAATATGACAGGGTTTCACTCTCACGATTGGGTTATGTTACATGGCAAAGATGAAGGGATTTTGCAGATATAATGAGGATCCCTAATCAGTTGTCTTTGAAGTAACCGAAAGGGAAATTGGCCTGGGTGAACCTGATCAAGTTGAGTCCTTTAAAAGAGGTTCCAGAGGCTGGGTGCAATGGCTCACGCCTGTAATCCCAGCACTTTGGGAGGCCGAGGCAGGTGGACTACGTGAGGTCAGGAGTTTGAGATGGGCCTGACCAACATGGTGAAACCCCGTCTCTACTAAAAATACAAAAATTAGCCAGGCATGGTGGCCCACACTTGTAGTCTCAGCTACTTGGGAGGCTGAGGCAGGAGAATTGCTTAAACCTGGGAGGTGGAGGTTGCAGTGAGCCAAGATCATGCCACTGCGTTCCAGCCTGGGCGGCAGAGTGAGACTCTATCTTAAAAACAACAACAACAACAACAACAACAAAAACAACAGCAACAAAAAACATCAAAGAGCCTCCAGGCCTTCCCTGAAAGATATTCAAAGCAGCACAGATGCTCTCCTATTGGCTGTTAAGCAGCCACATGGCAGAGAATGGCATACGGCCTCTAGGAGCACAGGGCTTCAGTCCTACACCATAAGGAACTGAATTCAGCAACCTTGGAAGAGGATTGCAAGCCTAAGTTGAAATCACAGCCCTGGCCAATACTTGGATTTCATCCCAATGAGACCCTGAACAAAGGACTCAGCTGACCCACACTTGGACATCTGACCCATGGAGACTGAGACAATTAATTTGTGTCATTTAAGCTGCTAAATTTGTATTAATAGTATTTTGTTACACAACCAAGTGATTGAAAATCCCACCCAAAACAAGTTCCCAAGAGGAGGATTTTTTGGCTTCCGTAATTAAAAAGTTATTACCCCTCTGCATAGCCTCTCTCCATCGCTCATCTCCTTACCTCTTCATGTTGAATGCATCCTCCAACAGGTTTTGGGGTCCTAGCATGACTCTGGTGGCTGCAGATGTCACATATGTCCCGGTCTTACTCTGTGAAATAGAGCAACTGCCATTGTCCCAGCATTTCCAAGCAAAGTTTTGCAGTGTCTCACTGTCTCTGACTCAGTCACCAATCCGTCACTGTGGCCAGAAGAATGCCATGAGCTCATTGGCTAGGCCTGTTTCATGCTCCGCCACTGAGCATGGGGCTGAGTCGGAAAGATATGGAAAAGTTAATGTTTACGATTGACCTAGGATTTATAGTACACATCATTGTTTTCTTTTTCTTTTTCTTTTTTTGAAACAGAGTCTCACTCTGTCGCCCAGGCTGGAGTGCAGTGGCACAATCTTGACTCAGCTCACTGCAACCTCCGCCTCCCAGGGTCAAGTGATTCTCCTATCTCAGCCTCCTGAGTAGCTGGGATTACAGGCATGCACCACCATGCCCGACTAATTTTTGTATTTTTAGTAGAGACAGGGTTTCACCATGCTGGCACACTTTTCCTTCTGTTAGGCCTTTAGTGTGGGGGTTTGAATTAACCTAGTCAGGAGTTGTGATAGGCTGGGTGGGTGGCTCATGCCTGTAATCCTAGC